AAGTCACGCAATGTAGACCGTGATACAGAATTGCGGCTGTCGGTGATGATGATGATGAAGATGATAATGGTGTTGTGATCATTTCCCTCCACTTTCTTTCCTGTGGCTGCAGGACATTTCTTGTCTTCTGGAGAACAAAGCAATTCCTCTGCAGGACATCAGGAACTGTCCAATGCAGAGAAAATCCTGCAGAGGAATATTCTTTTTCTCTCACAATGGGGAAGAAACCACTTTCCTCATATTCATCCTCACATGTGAGGATGAAAAGCTCTGGGATTTACATCCCAATTTCAGGGTTTTATCCCAGACCTTTCAGGCGCTTTCCAAGGTGCTGAAGTGATGGGAGGGGAAAATATGGTTTAGCACCGTAGAAAGCACCTGGAAATCTAGGATAAAACGCAGGTGGATACACTGCACCCCTGACACAGGAGCCACCAGCTGTACCTCAATTATTGCTGGGTGTGAGATGAGCTTGGAAAAGTTACTTCTAGGGACCAGAATGCCCAGAAACTACAAGCCAAGCTGTCAAGGGAATTCTGGTCATTTTTTTTTAAAAAAAGGAAAAGCAACCTTGCCATGGCCTGGGAAGGCAAGGAAGGAAGGGGGAACCCTTGTCCCTGAAGTCCTTCCTTCTGGAGATCCTGGATTGAACCTGGGACCTTCTCCTTGCAAAGCAACAGCTGTCTAACATCATCTCTTCTGACCAGATGTGCTGTGCCTCCCCAAATGCACCATCAACCCCTCTTGGAGAGTGAGGATGGCATCACATTCTCTAAGATGCACTGGCCACTGGATTTAAATTTTTATTTTTAAATAGACAGACTGTCAATATTTTGATCCCATTTGCATGACTGGCTTCATGAGATTTAGATCATGGCCAGAACCTGCCTCTCTTCTTTGTGGCAATGCTTCTCTCCTGTGCAAAGGGAACACAAACAGAGAAGCCAAACCCGGTCCTTGAGTCAGGTGAGTACAAACGGCATCTCTCTGTTTTCCACACAGGCTTCCAAAGCAGAGCAGCCTTCAGCTGGACTCCAAAAGAGCTCCTCTTTTTCCTTTTTGGGACTCTTCCTCCCAGAGTATTGCATTTTGCAATTAAAGTGGAATTTTACAGGGCACCTAGGTTGGGATCTCCTTTCAGGAAGGGTTTTATGAAGACCATGGAGATTAAAGCCAGAAGGGCAAATGAGCCTCACCTCCCTGCCCTGCCCTGACTGCCCAAGGAGCACATTTATAAAATGCCATGCCGCAATAACCAACGTTTGACAAGAACCACCACTTCACCTAAACATTGATCTTTCCAGCACTGGAAGTCCCCTTGTCCTGCACTCAGAAAATTGAACAGGCTGCTTTCAAAGTTTTACAGTTTTACTGTTTCCAAAGAAACCACAGAAACCTCCAGCCCTGAAAGCGATCCTGCTTTGACGCAGAGAGTAGATGCTCCGGGGCTCTTTGTGGCTCTTCTTCAGCTTCCGTGTGCCTTGGCCTCCAGCTGGGAGAGATTATCTCTGGTGCTAAGGAAGTCATGGAGGAAGGGCTTTATGGTCAAGGAGGCTGGGCGACAAGGGCCTTCTCGAAGCAAGGAGCCCTCCTTCTCTTCCTCTGAAATTCTCAAAGCCAAGCCAAGATCCTCCACCATGAAACCAATTCTTCAGGAGGAGCAAGAGAAGGAGAGACCACAATGCTGGCTGCAGCCAGAGGCAGGTGGACACTTAGCCCCACTTGGCTTTGCTGCACCAAAAGAGGCCATGGTCCTCCACACACAGGCTTGAAGCAGAAATAAAAGAAGCAACACCCATTGGGAAATGGCTACCTTGAGTATGCCTGGGAGAGGGATTTCTCTCAGCCCACCACCATCCCAGACGCGTTTGGGGAGAAAATGGGAGACGGGGCCTTCTTGGTCACTGCCCCCAGGCTATGGGATGCCTTCCCAAATACCTTTTTCTTATAGACAGGTATTTGGCTGTTAACTAGCTGTTGCAAGAGGCTTTTTCAAAAGGGAGGGAGGGAGGGAGGGACTCTCAACTTTTCTTTTTTGGGGGGGTTCTTGTTAATCACCATCAGGTCAACTCTGACTTATAGTGGTCCTATGAGTGAGAGATCTCCAAGAGCCCAGCTCATCCACAATCTCCCAGCTACCATGTTGAAGGTGTGTTTGTCAGGTTTTAGAAGTTGGGGGGGGGGGTTCTGTTAGCTGCATGTCCCACCCCAACAGAAAAGCAACTAATGAAGACCGACAGCTTGAGCCAAAAAAGGTGGATCCAGCCCAGCCTTCAACCTCCTTTAAGGAAGGCCAGCATAGCCATGCCAAGGAAGCCCACCAAGCTTTCCCTCTGGGTATCCCTGCCCTTGCCAGGCGCTCTGCCTCTGGGGCTTGGGGCTCTGCAGAGATGCCCACAGTCCATTTCCATGACCAGTCAAATGCCAGCAGACTGAGGAAAGGAAGGAGGATTTGACTCACCCACAGGGATGGTGGTCCCATGGATCTTGTCAGCCCAGCCGGCGTAGTAGCGCAAGGTCTTGATGACGCCCTGAAGGTCGACGTAGAAAGCTTGCAGGAAGGGCTTCCCACTGTTGAGCGACTCCAGAGTCTGCGGGGAAGAGCAGGCAGAAGGGAATGCAGGCGGGAATGCCACGGAAGAGGTGCCTGCCGCTGGGGAGCCACTGCTCCCAGGACACGCTCGGTCCAAGGCATTTCAGCCCCTTTGATTAAACCTATAAAACCCTCAACACCACACATCAAGCTGAGCCCAAACAATAGCTCCTTCAAGACCAGGGAAGGGGAAAATATTCTCTCATATTTATTTCTCAGGGGGGAGAAAGGCTTGGTGGGAAAGAATAATAGAGCAGTGCTGCTTCTCCCAGGGCTTGAACGTCCCAACATGTTCCAGAGCGGCAGAGAAATACAACACAGTGATAACAACGCTAATGATAAGGATGACCACCCCCACCATTACCACAAGTAATGCCACTCACTGTGTGTTCTTCTACACAAGGAAATCCTCAGAACTTTTGGGTCCTTGAACACAGGATATGATGGAGTGCAGCAAAAATGGAAGCACTATTGTGTAATAGTGCCCCAAAGGAGAGTGCAACTGGGTTCCAAACCATTTGCAACTGGGTTCCTAACCCGAACCCTATGCTCCAGACCATAGGTTCCTCAACCAGCCAAGGGCAGATTCCTTTCATTGGCTGCATCTTCACTGCAGAAATAATCCAGTTTTGACACCCCTTTAACTGCCATAGCTTAATGCTATGGAATTCTGGGAACTGTAGTTTGTTGTGGCACCAGACTGGAACCCTGCAGCCAAGAGGACCTCCGTGAAATTCTGGGAGATGTCTGCAAGCTTGCAACCCACTCTCTATTTGTTGACTGCCTTCCACTAAAGAAGGCCCTTCTCCTGCAAGGCTCCTGGGCCTTTGCTCCAGAAACCGTGGGACCTTTTTTCAGGTGACAGAAGTACATGCAACTTGAAGGCAGAGATACAGACAGTCTCACTCCTGGGATGTGGGTGGAAAAGAGAGAGACAGATCCTCAGATCCCCTTAAAGAACCTCATAAAAATTTCCTTGGGGATCACTTAAATCATTTTTAAGAGGCACCATTATCTACCCGCCAATAGTTCGGAGGGTGCATGAAATACATCTGTGAAAGCAGGTATCAGGCACATAGGGAGGTGGGCCATAAATCCCATGGATGTACAGAAGGCCAATGGCCATATT